CGTGATCTCTACACAAGAGGAGACACCTGCCTAGAGGGGACCACACGCTGCTGTAGTTGATTATGTTGGGCCTTAACTTGCTGCAACCTGATCTTGTTGGGTACTCAGCCAGCCTCCTAGGCTGGACCATTGCCAGCTGCCCAAGGGGACCACTGTCACCTCTACTCACCCTCACGTGAATTAAACATGATTTGGGGTATCCTAGGAATTTCAACACAAATTCCTAGGTTTATTCTCCACTTATAAATATGAGATTAAGCTACCTTGCAAAGAGACTTTTACACACGCCGCCTTGAGCCTAAAAATTTGAAGGAAAAATGTCTCTCCTTTCTCCACCAATCCTATTTGTCATGGCCTTCCTCCGTTGACAAGCTAAAAGGAGTGACGAACTAGGCGTTCGAGAGGAGCTAGCTTGCTGGGACAGTCTATGGTGGTCGAGGGAAGCTCTGTCAGTGCACGTCGAAGGCTTTTCCTCCTTCCTTTTGCTCTTTGCTTTCATTTTTATCACTTTCGTTGTAAGAAACGAATTAACTTGCTTTGTACTTGATATATTCGAACCCTACCATAAACTAATCTTATTTGGTAGGAGTTTATTTTGGATATTTAATATTTGTTTTAATGTATGGTTGTTTTTGTATGTTATTATCTGTTTTGTTTATGAAGTTTAATGCCTTAAGGTTATATAAGCTATGAGAGTAGTCATTCCTTAGGAGATTACTTAGTGTTCCAGAGAATGTCTAAGTAGTCCATCCTTAGTATTCAAGAGAAACTAAGGAGGAACCACATAAGCAAGGAGTTCTAGATAGTAACTAGGTCTGATCTACCTTAGAGATAAAGCTAGGATTTCAGTCGACTAAAAAGAGTAGTGCATGATCGAGAGGTTAGATGTTACTGTTGTCGCAAAAAGGTATTACCGTGACATATCTTGTTATCTTGATTAATAAGATCCTTGCAGTAGCTAACTCCAATCGATTTGCCAAGACATCTTCAACCTGTCGAGTCCCTTAACTAGAGATAGCATAGAACACCCTTAGCAAACTATGTCGGGCAGATAAGACATATAATTAAGACCATTCTGAGAGGTAGACTTAAATTTCCTAAGTGACTCCTATCATTCATTCTCATAGTAGCTTTTCGTGTGAGAAAGTTAAAGTCCTGATAATCAAATCCAACATTTACATTTCCATTTTTTTGCACCAAACACAATTAAATTTGTTACTGTATTTACATCCACTTTGCCACATCTCCATTTGCTACCATACTGCCATCATTCTATTTCCACAACCGTCATTTCATTTTGCCACAACATTCTCATATGTACATACCATCACTAACTATACTTAGAGAGAATATATTGTTTTGATTGAACTTATCAATTTCTTCTAATCCTTATGAATACGATACTCACTCATCACTGTATTACTTGTTCGATTATGTATACTTGCACATATTTTTGCGACCATATATAGTAGTCACAAATCGCGGACAATAGTCCACGAGATACTGCAAGTGGCAATATACTCTCTGGAGGAACAATATGGCTACATGAAAATAAATGGAGTTGATCTGATGGTAACCATGGAAAAAGTCGCTCTCTTGTTTCTTCTATTGGTTGCAGAGTTCCCTCTGCCAATACAACAGTGTGTGCTTTATTCACAACCTGCAAAAAGTTGCAATATAGGATGATCATGATGATGTCGAATATCCAAAACACAGACTTTAACACCATGTATTGATCTCAAACAAAGGAAATATAGGAAATAAATACAATCACTGAGATAATTGAACTCTTGGAATAACCTAAGAAAAAAATCTTTTCACCGGTGAGCATAACATGTTCCATGTAAGCTCCTTGTCCTGAAGATGTTGGTCTCTTCCTGGATATTATTATCCTTCCATCACCATCATTATATGTCAGCGACAGTAACATAGTTGCCATCGCCTGAAAGCAAGATAGAATGCTAAAACAATCGCAACTTTCCCCATTTTCCTTGACTGCTGAACCTTTGTGCAAGGTAGTCGTTTTATCTCCATACCCACTAACCTGGAGCCATAATATTGTGAGTTGTGACCATAAAATTTGGAGAAGTACAAGAGAAAAGGAACTGAACTCATAATTTCACAATATAAGAAAAAATATTGTATGGACACAAATCTACCTTGTGCATGATGTCGCTTTCATTTATATACTAAAGCAGCTTGATTAAATTAATGTTGTCAATATTGAGGGAGAATAAAAAATCATTTATGGCCATGGAAGAATCAAAGTTTTTATTTCCTCCAACACCACTTTCAGCATCTGGGCAAGTGTTTAAACAATTCCCATCCTTATCGTTAGTAGAACTCGGAGGAAAGCCCGGGTAAGAACCAAAAGTTTTGAATATATCTTCGATTTCCAGGTCCCAAGAGACCGCGGAAACTTCCAAAAGACTTCTCTATGTGGCTATGTACATTCTCCAACTGAAAAAAACATAAAATTACTCGATTTTAGTTTTAGATGAATTAGAATCAACAATATAACATCAAAATCTAAACTGAGTAAAACAATATGTTTGAGAAGATTCAAATTCCTTTTAAAATGAAAAGGTATCTAATTTGTAACTGGTTTCTCCAAGTTTTCATCATGCAGGTTTCAAACGGTAAATGGAATATTTGAGAAACAAAGAAATCGAAATATCAAGGTCAAACATTATTTTTTAAGCACCAATGACAATACCAGGGAAAATTATATACCTGTGACAAATTAATTTTCGCATCATACATGCTAATGAGGGAATCAGCCAGATTGTGAGCTTCATCTATTATAACGACATCATTCTTCAGATTCAACCTCAGAACTTCACGTGATGCTTTTGAAAGGAGTGATTGCTATGGAAGAACTACTAGATCAGCTGAGGGGATCATACTTCGGGAGCCATAATATGGTTATGTTCCTATATTTCTTCCAAGTTGAACAAGATCTTCAATGTCCAATGCTCCTTGTTGAGAAACTTCATTCCTAAATTATTTTTGTAGTTTATGTTTTCTAAGCATTGTGTATCCAGAGGAAGCCTTAGTTCGCCCCATCTTTCCCTCTGTGCCTAATTTCTGCAAAAGAAAAAGCCTACTATTATTAGTCAAGAAAACCCTCTTTTCCCAGCAACACATATTTCAATTGTTAGTCTTGGATTAGGATGTGAGCTAACTTAACAGCAAGACTAAATGTCTCCAAAGAAACGGTCCTTGGTACACGATGTCTTAATTTCGTTAATGACATAATTAAACATTGATAAGTAACAAATGAAGGGGTTGTAACTGCTAACAGACTTAAGATACTAATCCTTGATAAAGTGCATTACAGCTAAACTGTGGAGTTAGAACTGGGATATTCAAGTACCTTCATTTTAGAGGTTTCCTTTTTCTTGTTCTTTTGAAGCTCCAAGCATCGCTCATTAATTTGAGTAGAGATTCCTAGTCTCAAAACCTCTGAAATGTAAACCTTCACATGGTCAGGAAAATAAACCTTCAATTTCACTTCCTCCTCCTCGGACTCACCCTCCTCTTCGTCACTTGAAGAATTAACAAGAAACTTGCCGTTTTTCTCTTCAAATTCAAACTTCCAATACCACCTTCCTCTTCACTTTCGTATTCTTCGAGCAGAAAACATTCCTCTTCTAAATCACGTGAGAATAAATCCCTGTGACTATATTTATTCATTATTTTTCCAAGTTTTGCTAATGCAAACCTATTTTTCTTTTTCTTTCCCTTCTTATCATCGATTTGGTTGTCTTTGTTCACGGCAAAGTTTTTGAGCCAATCAGGTTCATCGTCTGAACCTATTTGTTCCTTCTTTTCATCAGATTCAACCCTTTCTTCAGACTTTTTTTTGTCTCTGATCAATCACCCATTGCAAAGCACAGCAGACAATGCTCAGTGTTTTGCCAGTTCCTAATTTTACAAGAAAATTTCAAATTAAGTTGTTGTTTTGTTCTGTCATAAAGCAGGAATCAGGGCATGTACAAAATCAATTATGCAAAGTTTACATAAACAAGGGGGAAACTCGATATAAGTTAAATACAAAATATTTTTAGCTTTTCTATTTTTCCAACTTCAATATTCCAATATTCTCCTCGCCATTTTCTCAGCAACCAAACATCGAGAAAACATGCAAGATATATATATATATATATATATATAGAGAGAGAGAGAGAGAGAAGGTACCGGTAGGACTTTCGAGCATGGAGACGCCGCCTTTATCTAAAGAGTGATAAAGTGCATTCATGAAATCCATCTGGATTGAATATGGCTTGTCCGGGAATGCTGGAAATTTTCTCTCCCCTTCATTTTCCATATCTCTATTTTCTCGACCGAAACTTGGGCGCCTTCGCTTCGTTCTTTCCCCAAGTTTTTATGTTTTTTTTTTTTGCTCTCTATATGATTTTCCCGCTAAATTAAAACTTGCGGTCCACTCAATTTCAAAACTGAGTAAATTGATTCCTCCCAATATAGGAAGACAATTTTCAAAGTAAGTAACCAAAAAATAATCACAATTTTAATATTTTTCGTCAATTTTAATAGTTTTAATCATCAATATTCAAGGATCATATCAATTTAATCTTGATTCTATAAAATTCCACATATAATTTATACATTTTTATAAATATTGAGAGTTAAATTTATTAAATTTCTAGATTTAAAATCAAAATGACAAAAAATATAAGCATTGAAGAATAAATTTATTATTGAATTAATCAAAATTATAGAAAATTGAAAGAAAATATTAATTTCGTGATTAATTGTCCACTTTCAAAATTGACAAATCGAATGCTCTTTGATTTTTGGTAAGGACCAATTTGTATAATTTCAAAACTAAAAGGTATCTAAAAGGTCTTTTTATCTTTTTTAAAAAATTATTTATATTTTCTCAATCATGTTGTTGAATGTTCAAACCTAAGTCCATTTGGAATGAAAAAAGTAGGTCATTCGCTGGTGTTAGCCCAAAAGCGAAAAATGAACCCAGAGATAGGCCCATCCAGGAAATCAATCTCTTCAACTCAATCCTGAAAACCCCTTTTGGTGCCATAATTCTTTCTTCCCCCGCCGCTCTCTTTCTTGTTAAGAGCCCGAAGAACAATATCTTAGGGTTCTCCCTCATCAGCTCCAATGGTATTACAGCAAAATGCAGCACTCTCTTCTTTTCCTTTTTTTTGTTTGTTTTTCTTCCTTTGATCTGATTGAATGTTCACAAATGACATGAATATTGTAATTTGCAGGGAAAAGGAACCGGGAGTTTTGGTAAACGAAGGAACAAGACCCACACTCTTTGTGTGAGATGCGGCCGCCGCAGCTTTCATCTCCAGAAGAGCCGTTGTAGTGCTTGTGCTTTCCCTGCTGCTCGTAAGAGGAAATGTAAGTGCCCCTCTGTTCCATTCATTTCTAGATCTTTATTGTTTTCTTTTTTATTTTTGCTTGCTTGCTTGCTTGCTTCCTGCTATTAGTTCTGCTTTTAAATCTGGATTTCTTTGTGTTTAGCTGATTATTTTCTGGGTTTGTTTTCCTTGTATACTTCGAAATTTTTTACTTGCATAGTACTACCGGCCGTCATATACAATGGTTAGATTATTTGTGAGTTTTAATGTCACAAGAAATGTGCTTGTATTCGTAACCTCTAATCGCAGTAATGAGGGTGCAGTCTCAGGTCTTGCCTGTTTATTATGTTTAAGATGTTAAGTGTGTAAATGGATTGTAATTTGGTACATCAATTAATTGTTAAACCTAAGGGGAACTTGATTATTGTGGGAATCAGATAACTGGAGTGTTAAGGCAATCCGAAGAAAGACCACTGGGACTGGTAGGATGAGGTATCTTCGCCACGTTCCTCGCAGGTTCAAGACCGGTTTCAGAGAAGGTGTGTGAATTCTAATTTCATTATTTGAACATATTCTGTTCTAGTTTAAAGTTTATCTTCCCCTAGAATTTTTTTTTCTTCTTAATTTTCATTGCTGCTGGATCATGATCTAGGTACTGAAGCAGCACCGAGGAAGAAGGTTGCAGCTGTTTCTTCAGCTTAAATTGCAATGAGTTTATTTAGATGAATCCATCTTTTTTGAGAATTTTCGTTGGGAACATTACTTGAGAAAGTGTCGTTTTGTTATGTTGGATGCATTATTGTTTTTAGTTTCTATTTTTTTATGTTAGCTGCTTAGGCTATTGGTGTTCGACTCTTGGTTACTTGATGCTTTTTCCTTGATGAAGTTAATTACGTTCTTGTTTGAGTTACGATGCCTGTAATCTTGTTTCGGATGGTTGGAAATTTAAAAATAATGCATCTCAAATTATATAATTTTGTGTAATTGTAGTCGATAATCGCGGTTGGCGGATTCAAGAATTGTTGCTTAGAGACAGGTTCATGAGTTAATTATAGTTTAGAAGAATCTGGTCTGATTCTTGAACAATTCTTCTCAAGAGATTTTGATGGTATGTGCAGCAAAAATAGTTTTCTTCGTTTATCTGAGAGTAGATTAATGCATCTTGGTGATAAAATAATATTTGTTTTTATCTATCATTAATCAGGGAATGAAAAAGATTTATAATGTAAATGAATGAAAATTCAGCCAAACAACGCAGATAAATCATGTTTTTATCTACAATAATTGCTCTGACTTTTTTATTTTGTTAATTAATCTAAACATTGCACCTGTTTAAGGGAATAAATATAGCGAGAGAAAAAAAGAGAAGGTACCACAGCAAGAAGCTTTCAGTTATATGATATATTCACTGTGCTCAAGGTTCAAGGTTTACTTACAATTTTCCTCCAAGAGTGATAAATTTTTCGTCTCAAGGAAAAGAGAGACTAATTACAGAATTTAAACCTGTGTATGAAGTGGAAGATATTGGCACTGCAAAATATTAATGAAGTAAAATATATTCTCGATGCAATGAATCTCAAACATGGATCTCAACCTTCTACTTGATGTGAAATATAAGGCCAAACCTCTCTATTATTCGAACTCCACATTCGAAATCTTAATTAGTTCGCTTTATAATCACCAAACTTGTGTTTTTCGTCATGCAACTGCTTGAATACATAATCCATCTCTGGAATTGCAGACAACAGCAATAGCTCGATAACATCATATGCCAGCAGCTTCAAACAGACACTTGACTGCAACAAAAAGAGAACAGACGCATAACTAGATGCAGCGATCATGTTCTACTCAACTCAATGTTAATAATATAACTGTTGTTTCTAAAAACAAGACCCTGTTCCACATTAAAAGAAAAAAAATCTATTGATATCCTAAATTACCTGAATAAAGAAATAGAGATCTTTGGCACATTGTTCATACTCCTTGTGACCAAAAAGACCCACAATAGCAGCAGGCGCTTCGTCTGTATCAAGAAAATTGAGTTAATTGACTGTCTTAAAACTCAGTTCAGTGACATTAGATAATGTGCAATGCAGATTCTAATAAGAAACATTAGTGATAAACAAACTACCAATCATTAGCTCATAAACGAATTTTGCACGACGTTCTGCTTCCAGTTGTTTCTGCTCATCACTCGATATAGGTGAAGAAGTTTCAGGAGATTGTGGACGTGTTGAAGCTTGGGATGGGCTACTGGGTGGTGGCGGACGTTGTCGCCTTGGATGTTTGGTTATGAATATTCCATCAGGCCAAAGTATCTGCATGGAAATTGCAGTCATCCTGTATTAGAAGTACATAGAAGCACAAGAAAATACAGAGAATCACCAACATGGCAAAAACGTACGAGACAAAGGACGTAAATATAAATTTCAAGTCAGATAAGACATTGAACATAATCCCAATCGATCTAGCTGTTAAAAGCATATTTTGGACAGATCTAGACTAGCTGTATAGAAGGCTGAGCAAATAATATTGTGGTTTAGCTGCCCCTTCCATCCTCTTGCAAACTTGGTCAAGAGGAGACTTCTTTTAGGTCTCTAATGCCACTAAACAAATTTACGGATAAATTTGCTATAATTTTAAAAGGGGGAAAATCCAAGATCAAATGACTACCTGCTCAACCCGCTTGATTCCTGAAGCAACAACTGACCCCTTTCGCAGCAGCTGGATCTTTTCTATCAGCCAGTCATCAAAAGCATCACCCATTCCAAGTTGTAGAATTTGTTTGGCCACCCAGAAAGCCTTACGCCTGAAATACACAAGCAAAGTAGGTAAATATTGTGCATATAGTTAGAATTAGATGTGATAATGCTACACTTACATTAGGGTGGATGAATTCCCATTTTAAGGAGGCAAAATCAAAATATAATGCTAACTTAAGTGAATAGTCATATAGCCATTTACGTACCTGACCCATCCACCATCCTGGAGCTGGAAAATGACATCCACCAAATCTAATATAGGAGCAGTTAAATTTGGTGGCACCCACTGCACATAAAGATACGTCCGTTCAAATCAAGTTGCAAATAAGTATGAAACATGAAAGTTTTACGTTTGACATTAAATTGATTACCTCTGTAGGAATGGTTGGGTACGTGGCAGAATCTAGAAGCAATTCAGAAGTATCTTCCACTATTTTGTTCTCTCTCCCTCTAACATTTTCCTTTGAGTTCCTTACCAACAGTGTATTTCCCACTCTAGTATCCGAATCACTGCCAGTATCTTCAGAGGACTTGCACCGTGCTTCAGTGGGAAGTTTTGATGAAGTCAACACATTTTTTGCATTTCTCAATCCATCAGTTGCAAAATTAGGTTTTATTTGCAATGAAGGTTCGTTGCTTTCAGTGTCCAACTGTTGTCCCCCAGAAGTTAAGGGAACCATCAGAGGCCCCATAACATTTGAAGCCGTTTTGCTTTTTTCAGACGGATTATCATCAAGGCCAACTAGAAAGTTTCCAAGTAACACAAAATATAATCATCTGATGACAGATTAAGGGGGGAAAAGCAAACCATGCAAACAACCTAACAAATTATGTTTGAATTACCTGATAATGTTTCGACAATAGAAAAAGAACTCGAGAATACATATGTCTGCATTACAAAAAATATATATAATAAGAAATTGTGCTTAACTGGGAAAATCTGCGACTCCCCCACCACCACCACCAAAAAAATAAAACAATTTCTCTTCCCAGAGAAGAAAGGAAAAGGAACATTTTCCCCTGGAGGAAAAGGAAAATAGTTCACCTGGGAATCAACACTTAGGAAGTCCCAAACTTCAATTGATCCTGAAATAGAAGGAAGCTGCAAGAGCATCTGAAGACGAAAAAAATATTAATAAGTCCTCTAAAAACATAAAGATATGCAAATCTAGTGTATACAGCATATGCTATGTTTATTTCTCATATATAAATTAAATGACAATTTTTGCAGATGGAAGTACTAGCGATCAAACAACAGCCCAACAAACATATTTTATGAAGAAACCTCGGTATAGAAGTTAAATATCAATTTAAATAACTTAGAACAACAGATATCCCCTCATGCACGAAGAAAATTGGTTGAGTGAGTTCAAGCATTTAACCTTTAAATATTCATCAAGCAATTTACACCGTTCTCGTATTACAGGGATGTCTAAACCCGATGACAGAAAATGCTTTGGGGGCAAGTGAAGTTTATACTCGGGAAATGATTTAAGACGCTGATGCAGCTCTTCAAAATGGCGAAACCTGAATGAAAACAATTAAAAAGACTAGAAACTCTAATAGAGGTGAAGATAAATGTAACTAGCTTGACATTTTAGAAAAATCCAACCGAGATGCCTCTGCAATGAAGAATGAATGCTATAGGATGCAATATGGGCGGAAGACCAGAAAGTATATAGCACACTCTACACACCTTCTCTTGATAGACCAACTGCTATTGTTATGTATTACATCTGTTACAGATATGGAGTAAACAGCAAATGTTCTAGAACCACTCTTCACAATATTTGCACCTAAAACCTGCAAAAGGAATAATATTGCAATAATGTAATAATAAATTATAGCAAACCGACATGAAGCGCATATTTGTCATTATGAAGTACCTCACATCTCAATTTAAAAAAAGAACCTCCAGCCAATGAATTTTGCAAGGAATTAGTAGTCAAACTACGACTTTCAGCAATAGAGAGAGAAGAAGCAGTTGCTCCACTGTGAAGTCTACCAAAGAATTCAGTCTCAGAATCATCACTGGAATATTCAGCTTTTCCATGTCCATTCAGTGAATTAAGTATGTCTTGTCCATCCCCTGATAAGAAGCTTGTCCTCTCAACCTCTTGCCAGACAGGCAACTTCTGACGGGTAGATCTAGATCTTTTCCTGCTGGATGGAGTTTTAGTTAATCTTCGATATTGGACATGCCTTCCACCAGCCTTCTTTACAATATGGCCCACGAGATTTTCAAGTGGATGATGAATATGAGAAACAGTCAGGTTTCTGTTACTCTTACCTCCCCTGATAAGAAGCTTGTCCTCTCAACCTCTTGCCAGACAGGCAACTTCTGACGGGTAGATCTAGATCTTTTCCTGCTGGATGGAGTTTTAGTTAATCTTCGATATTGGACATGCCTTCCACCAGCCTTCTTTACAATATGGCCCACGAGATCACTGCTTTCTGATTCAACCTCCACCAAATCAACAAGGTCGTGATCATCTTCCTGAGAAGATACAACCGAAGAGCAGTATGATACATTCTGAACTTCATGCGGGAATGATTTTTCTATTTTGCTTTGATCAATTAATGAAGGTTGAGAAACATGACTCTCAGATGAGTTAAGCTTGGCTGGATACTTCTCTCTGGTCTTAGATACTGCTTTTGCATGTTCCACAGCAGCAGGGTTCCCAGCAGAGTAATGACGTGGAACTTGCTCAATTAATCGTTTTTCTCCGTCCTTTTTGTAATTTCGCCCCTTTGTCCATATGTTCTCAAAATTTTCAGGAGCAAGGGCCTCAGTCTTTCTACGTGAAATGAGATCTAACATGTCACCCCATTCTCCGCCTGAACGATTTTTTTCAATACCTCTTTCAGCACCAGTTTGTGAGTTCATGGGCACAGAGCTCCATGAACGGGAAGTTCGAGTATCCATGGAAAGCAATGGATCCTTGGAAAGTTGTGTTCCATTTAGGTTGTCTGTTGCAGCGGTGTTTCCAGCAACTCCAAACTGATTAGTTTTTAACTGTACAAGTTCAACACCAGTAACAGAAGGATCTAGCGACTTAGAAAAATGGTCAGATGGGATCTTCGAGGAGC